CAGAGAAAGGGAGGGAGGGATAGAGGTGAGAGAGAGAAGGAGAGAGAGAGAGGAGAGAGAGAGAACACAGGAAGGGAAGGAGGGAGGGGGAGAGAGAGAAGAGGAGAAAGAGATTTCAGAGAGAGAGAGTTGTGAATTCAGTTCTTGGAACCTTTTTCTTTTTGTGGGTAATGGAACTCTGGTGGAGATCCCATCTCAATACCCAGACAGTTCCTGGGGTGTCCAGACTTAGGCTGGTGGGAAGGTCTGAATTCTTTGGTGGTGCCCACGCTGTCCCTGTCTGTCTACCCCCTCCTCACTTAGAAGATGCTCGTGTGGCCCCAGGAGACTTGCGGGCCCCAGCATGGGTCCTGCTAGAACACCGCACGTCTCCACAGTAAAGAGGTGGGTGACTGCCATCTGTTCTCTCTGCTGTTTTTTTTGGGGGGGGGAGGCTGGAAGATTGAGAGGGACAGGGAGAGGATGTTCTGGAATGGCATCAGTGCCACCAATTAACGTAGGAAATTTGGAGTCCTCACTCCTCCATCCCTATTTTTTTAAATATTGTTATGGAAATTTGATCACAGGAGGTGGACACTGGCCACCTGAGTTTCCACTCCTCTCTTTTGTCCCTCCCACTCCCCAGCCTCCCAGGCCCCCAAGGGAAATAAGCTATAAATCATTATGTCTCTGTGGCAGATGCAGATGGGGGGAGGGGGGAAGAGGAAGGGGGGATGGGAGAGAGAATCTCTGTTGTGTTTGGCAGAGAGGAGAGCACAGACTGGTAGGGAAAATGTTTTTAATATTTAAACTTTTAAAAATGTTAACTGCCTGGGAGTTGATATTAAAAGAAATCTATGGCTCAGGATTGCCAGCTGACCCTGGGCATTGAAGTGGGCAGTTTAAATCCTTCTGGGTTTCTTTTGAAGTCCTCAGGTCCTCCAGCCACCCCGGGAACTGGATTCCTGCTCTTTGCCACAGGTCTCTATGGAGGTGGAAATTCCTAAAATGGCCACATTGGTGAGATCTGAGAAATGTGGAATTAAGTCCTAAATTTTCGCTTAGTCCCTTAGAGCAGTATGGTTTGTCTCCCCAGGCCAGGCACAGAGATGCCCTGGAGAGTACATAGAATATACTGTTCCCACATCGCCCACCTCTCTTTGCTTTGGAAAGGGGTTGGCATAGCCCCTGGGCTTCATTCTAGCTAATCTTTGCACATGGTGAGAGTGGGCCCTAGACCATTGTCACACCAGAGTCTTACAGCATCTGACATCTAGTTTCTGCCCCAATGGTCAAGGAAAGAAGACACTGGGTTGACTTGGGGAAAGAAGGGGAAAGAAGCCCCAAAGCCAGTGAAGGTCCCAAAAGAAGGGAGGCTGGCCCTGAGGAAGGCAGATGACCTAGGTTCAAATCTTGCCCCATCCCTCATTACCTAGGTGACTTTGGACAACACCATTAATTGGATAGAGTGCTGAACTGGGAGTCAGAAGGACCTAAGTTTGAATCCTGCCCTTGGGTAACTTCTCTAGGCCTCAGTTTCTTTATCTGTGAAAGGAGGGGGTTAGACTAGGTGACCTTACAGGTTCCAATCCATTTTATTTCTATGACCTTACATCACTTTACCACTCTGTGCCTCAGTTTCCTTCTCTGTAAAATGAGAGAGTTGGACCTATGGCCCCTTCCAGCTCTGTAACCATGATTTTACAGAGCAGTTCCTAGGTACTTGCACCAGTGACGAGTTGGGTTGCCCCTGGATGTCTGTACCCATTTTCTCCCATTTCCAATCTAGCCTTCATGCCGTTCTCCCATGACACAGGTCAGACCAGTCACTCCCTTACTCATAAACTTTAATGGCTCCCTGTTGTCTCTGATATAAAACACCAACCCCTTAGCATATTATTTACAGCCCACAGTTTGGCTTCAAGTTATCATAAGTACATTATTTCACATTATGGCCCTTCCCATGTGGGCCAATATCCATCTTAATTAGGCTGCTAGCATTTCCTCCTAGCTCCCATTTCCATTCATCCACACAGGCTTTCCTTATCCCTGGGATGCACCTCCTCCTCATCTCTGCCTAGCAGAAGCCGTCTCTGCCCTCATGGCTCAACTGAGATGCCACCTCCTCCATGCAGCCTGACCTGATCCTCCCCAGCTGAAATTGTCCTCTGCCCCGCTCTGATATTCCCAGGTCACTCTGTCTGGATTGTGCCTTTATACCATAATTATCTGGCATTGTGCACGTTGTATCTCTCCCAGTAGAATGTAAGCCCCCCGAGGGCAAGGATTGTTTTGTTTTTGCCTCTACACTAACGGAATACCTTGCACACAGGTGTTTAACCAGTGTTTGTTTTATTTTATTTTTTGAGGCAATTGGAGTTAAGTGACTTGCCCAGGGTCGCACAGCTATTAAGTGTCTGAGGCCAGATTCAAACTCAGGTGCTCCTGACTCCAGGGCTGGTAATCTACCCACTGTACTACCTAGCTGTCCCTAATCAGTGTTGAATGAATGAATGAATGAGTGAATGAATGAATGAATGATGGTCCAGTTGGCTAGAACAGCCATTGTGTAACTGACCACTGATAGGAGCAGGAATTAGCATGGAATGAGGCCACAGCCTGGGTGAGAGTCTTGTCTGACTTCATCTGTGAGATTGAGAAATAGGTTAGGAATGAATCTTTCCTTCCTGTTGGCGGAGAGGTGGGGGACGAGATGCAGAATGAGGCGTACGTGGCCAGTGCATTTGTTTTTGCCTGACTGTACTTACAAGAGGGGATCCCGTTGCTGGGGGACGAGGGGAGTTATTGGGAAGTGATGGTGTATTTTAAAAAATGGAGCATTTAGCAGACATTTTTCCAAAGAAAGGAGCCAGGCTGGCGTGTTGGGTTATAAGGCTGTGCTGTGTCACGACGGGAAGGCCGGATCTGGAGTTAATTAACATCCCAGCTCCAGCGTGTGACTGTGGGTGAGGTAGCCCACCTTTCCCGGCTTTCCATTCCTGCCCAGTAGAATTAGGAAGTTGCTTTCCATTCCTGCCCAGTAGAATTAGGAAGTTGGACTCGGTGGCCTCCAAGGGTCTTTTCAGCTCTAAATCTGTGGTCTTATGATCCTGCTTTAAGCCTCAGTTTTCTCATCTGTCAAATGGGCAGGGTGGGGTGTGATGAATATTCGCCATGAGGTAGATATTTCCTGCTTCATGCGGTTTGGGGGAAAACTGGGCCTACCTAAAAGTGCCGTCTGAATGTGAGGAGTTGTCATTATTTATTCCTTAGGGAAGTGAGACTGACTTTTCCCTGCAAAGGTCTTCCTGCCTATGTACTCCATGAGAGGGGCAGGAGGGAAGGAGGACTTTGCTTCCACTGCCCCTCATCCGGGCCAGTAGAAAGGAAAAGATGAAAGAATAAAAAGAGACCTGCCTTGTTTGCTGCTCTGCCTCTAGGTTTTGGAGTGCCTACGGTGCTCTGGGGGTATACAAGAGAAAGAGAAGGCAGAAGTGGGGGAGGCCTGCCCTCAAGGACCTTGTAGGCTGGAGGAGGCTGCAGAACAACCTGGGATCCTAGGTAATCAGGCCCTAGACTGGGCAAGGTAGATAGGAAGTACTACA